CACACAGAATGAAGCACTGTCTGATAGTTCCAGAGAACAGAGAGATAGAGAAAGTCGCTAACTGGAGAGTGTAGACCTGGATTTAACTTGGGTAAAAAGAAAGACCATATACAAGAAGGAGGTCAGCACAATGTGACCAAGCCAAAGGAAGATACTGGGAAGTACACAGAGTAAAAGGAACAAATTTAAATACTATTACATACCCAATCTTGCAATAACATTAATAGAGACTAATTTCTGGTGAATGTATAGGTAGATGTATAAGCTGAAATGGTGTGAAATGAAATATGGAATTGCACCCATGAGTCTATATAGGTTTGGCAGCAGAGATTTCTACATATGTATGTATATTTGTATTTGCTGCAGCTAGATTAATGTATATAATAGAGCCTACAGGGGAAAATAGCCTTCTGTATGGATTGCATCTCAATGTAAAGAAAACAAAAATCCTCACCACTACACTGGACCAATAAACAACATTCTTATCGATGGAGAAAAGATCAAAGTTGTCAATGACTTTATTCTTGGATCAACTATCAACACTCATGGAAGCAGCAGTCAAGAAATCAAATGACATATTGCAATGAGCAAATCTGGTGCACAAGACCTTTTTAAAGTGTTGAAGAGTAAAGATGTCAGCTTGAGGACTAAGGTGTGTATGACCCAAGCCATGGTATTTTCAGTAACCTCATATGCGTGTGAAGTTGGACAGTAAATAAGGAATATTGTAGAAGAATTGATGCTTTTGAGTTATGGAGTTGGAGGAGAATATTGAAAGTGCCATGGTCTGCCAAAAGAACAAACAGATCTTTTGTTGGAAGAAGTGCATTCAGAGTGCTCCTTGGAGGCCAGGATGGCCAAACTTCGTCTCTCATACGTTGGACATATTGTCAGGAGAGACTAGTCGTTGGAGAAGGATATCATGTTTGGTAAGGTGGAGGGTCAGAGAAAAAGAGGAAGACCCCCAGCAAGATGGATTGGCAATATGGCAGCATAAATAGGCACAAAAGCATGGCAACAATTGTGAGGTTGGCCAAGGTTTCATTCTGTTGTGCATAGGGTCGCTATGAGTTGGTACTGACTCAATGGCACCTAACAACAACAACAGGGCACAAAGTAGTGAAAATTTATTAGCCATAACCAAAAACCTTGAGGGACTTGGGAACTTGGAACCATAGTCCTAAATTTAAGGATGGAAATATAAGTCAATTGGCATAACATGTTCCACACAGACAATGTTATACATCCTGTTTTGGTGAATAGTGTAGGATCTTAAAAGCTTGCAAATGGCCATCTAAAGTACAACTATTGGTCTCTTCCATAGAAGAGTTAGTTAAACCAAAGACTCAAGTAAACAATTAGTCCAAAGGACTAATGGACAACATGAACTACAAACTCCACTAGTATGGGACCAGAACCTGGTGGTGCTCAACTACAGCTAACAACTACTCTGAGCAGGGGCACGATAGAAGGTTCTAGATAAAGCGGGAGAAAAATGTAGAACAAAATTCAAAATTATAAAGCAGAGCAGAATAAAATTTAGAGACTGATTGAAACCCCGACAATATGGGCCTTATAGTTAAGTGCTGTTGGGTTCATTACAACTAAGAAGAACCCTATATAAAGTTTCTGAGGAGCTGCTGGTGGGTTTGAACCACCAACCTTGTGGTTAGCAGTCCAGCACTGATCCTATATATATAGCACCATACCGGGACTCCTCTATGGACCTTGGTGGTGTGCCATGGAGTCAGTTCCGAATGACTCATAACGACCCTCTAGAGGGTTTCCGAGGCTGTAAATCTTTATGGGAGCAGAAAACCTAATGTTTCTCACGTGGAATGACTGGTAGTTTTGAACTGCTGGCCTTGGTTAGCAGTCTGATTCGTAACCACTATGTTGTTGTTGTTGTGAAGTGCTGTTGAGTTGGTTCTGACTCATAGCGACCCTGTATAGGGTTTTCGAGGAACAGCTAGTGAGCTAGAACCGCTGACCTTGCAGCTCAAAAGGCCTTGCAGTCTGGCGCATTAACCCACGGCGCCGCACCAGGACTCCAGAGTTCCCTTGTTGTTGTTACGTGCCATGGAGTTGGTTCCGACTCATAGCGACCCTGTACAGGGTATCCGAGGCTATAAATCTTTACAGGAGGAGAAAGCCTCATCTTTCTCCCGCGGAACAGCTGGTGGTTTCAAACTGCTGACATTCTGGTTCACAGCCCAATTCGTAACCACTACGCTACCAGAGCTCCCTTAGACACCATCAAACTTGCAACTGAACCCACCTTCCAGAGAATCACCTATCAGGCAAATAATACAAAGGCTTATAGAATGAGAAAACAGCTCCTAGGAACTGAAGAACAAACTCTGAGACTTAAAAGGGGAGCATTTGCTAACAAAGTTCAGAAAGCAGAAGGGGCAGGAAAGAAGAACAAATGGAAACAAAGGCACAGGGCAGAAGTGAGAAGAGTCCTTATTACATCGAGAGTATTGCAAAGAATCTTAAAATATGTATAAATTGTTCAGTGGGAAACTAATTTACTGTGTAAACTTTCACCCAAACCACAATAATAGGTTATTTAAAAACAGGAAAACATCTCCTTCTATTGACATTAGAATAATCCATTTCAGGTAAGTGTAGCTCATGATGTTTTTGGTTTCTTATGTTTTTTCCTGTTACAAAATGTCCACCCAGAAAGAGCCAAAATAACTGAGCAAATAATGAAGATGACAGTGGGAATTACCCCAGTGTACTGTTAACATAACAGGTACTCAGAAATTCCAACAACATAGCGATTTTCATGCCAGCTACCTAAATTGATCTTAGCAAATTCTCAACAACCGTGCTGACATAGCTTCTGGCATTTTATGATGGCGTTTTCCTATTTTAAAGCACTGTTATTTCATGGACAAAGTACAAGAGTGCCTGATAATAATATTGCACTGCTAAATTCAGGCTATATCTGCAGCAGGATTCATATCCTGATCTTAGGATAATAAATTTAAAACTCTACCATTTTCCCTTTAATTATAAAACTTCAGGCTCAGCTCCAGGCTGAAAGATACCTGTTTTAAAACAGGCTTGTTCTCGCTGATTGGCATGCTATGAGTTGGAATCAACTACACGAATCAAGAACAACATAGGATCAGTAATTGAGCTTCATGGTAGTGTTGCACAAAGATCCCAAGACTTTGGATTCAAGTGTCAATAACAGACCTTTCTTTTCATTCCTGTCTCATCAAACCACACATTCCAGTTGCTAAATATTTAAAGAAACCTTCCCACACGCCCTACATGAAGTAACTTCCTGTCCCAACCCCACTCTTCTGTCACCTCTGTCACATTATGCAGGTTTATTTTTTTTACAACACTGATCATTATCTAAAACAATCTGACTGACTTATTTGTTCACTCAATCACTTCTTTGAAATAGAGTGTTAGCCCCAGGAGGGTGGTTGTTGTTGTTATGTGCCATCGAGTCGGTTCCGACCCATAGCGATCCTGTATAGGATTTCTGAGGAGCAGCTGGTGAGCTTAAACTGCCAACCTCACAGTTCAAACGGCTTTGCAGTCTGGTGCATTAACCCACAGTGCCACAGTGGGTAGATGCCATTAATATTTTATCCACCATAATATTCCCAAGAATGTCAACAAATAGTAAATACCCAGAAAGAATTGATCAAGTCTGCAAATAAGTTAACAAACACCCCTGCTTGTGACCCGATAAATAGTTTTTCCCGTGCTCAGCTTCTTAAGCTTCACTATCGCAAGCTAATGAAGCAGTCAAATGAAATTGCTGAGCAATATGACAGAAATATGAAATGTTAAGTCGCAAATGTCCAAAGACAAATTTAGGTATTTTAGAGTTAGAATGGATGAAGACATAGCCTCCACTATAAATGTATAATTTAGTGGGAGGAAGAAAATTAGTGGAGAATCAGTTATAAGCAAATAAAAATACAATAAGCATACTGTAATTGAAATACAGAAAAAGGGAGATGCGGGAATTTCCATTAGGTTAAGGTGAAAGAAGTGTTTTCTTCTAGGTAAATTTATACCAAATGATAACTTTTGAACCTGGATTTGAAAATTAAATCCCCAAAGAAAAATGAACTATTCCAGCCAGAATAAAGGCATGAAGTTATATCTTTGTGCAGTTTTTGAGGAAAGGTTAAGGAACTGAAGATGGGAAATTGATTGATGGTTTGGTTGTAACAAGCCTTTGTTATAGGACTAGTGAGTTAATATTTTTTTGTAATTAGGGATCACCTCATTCTATTTCTAATAAAAAAAAAAAAAGAAAACACTAAGGTACCTATGATATATAAAAAAAATAGGTAATGTAGAAATCTGTGTAAATACATGCATTACAAGTCAGCCTTTTGACTGTGGAGTCTAGGATTGTGTATCAGGAGATGATTTACAAGCTAGACAAACAGCATTTTGGGAACATTCTCTGCTTTTGTCCAAAGACAAGATTTTTTGAGGCCTATTTCTAAATATTAAAGGAGAGGAATCCTAAAGGTCATTGATTAGAAAATAAAACTGAGACTCATTGAAGCACATTAAGTTCTTTGCTCAATTTAACTGTTCCAACAATGAAAAGCCATTGCCTTGTCAAGATATGGTTAGGGGCTAGAAGACGCTTTGCAAAAATATTTTGAGGCAATTGAGTTATTAGATTGTGTGTTGGATTTGATGGCCTTTTAAATACTTCCCAAATGCTCAGATGCTGTTTTAATTCATTTTTCATCAAAGTCTACTCACATTCATCTAGTAGTCAAAAACCCCTATGCCAGGTGATGGAAATAAAATAAATAAGACACTTTTTAGTAATGAAAAAAAAGTAAGCAGTATTTAAACCTTACCATCTTCTTTCCTTATTTACACGTATAAGTCATCTACAAAGGTTCTCAGATGCTTGACTTATCCAGCTAGTCATGGGATGATGGGGCTCAGTGGTCATCTGGTAGAAATCAATTCTGTTTCTGTGGTGTTCTCTCCAGTGGTAACTCCCAGGTACACAGTGGAACTGGCTTGCGGTTTTGGAGTCACAGTCTTGCTGGTGGTGATTCTCATTGTTGTTTACCATGTTTACTGGCTGGAGATGGTCCTGTTTTACCGGGCTCATTTTGGAACAGATGAAACCATTTTAGGTGAGTATTATAAGTTTGACGTAGACTTCTTACACTATTGTCTTTAGAAAACATGTTTTCTTGATAAAACCTGGATTAACTGGAAAATGTAATCAAGACTGTTGAGTGATGATGCATGGAGGAGATTGTAATCATTGAAATGAAACGATGAGTATAAAACCAACATTCTCCCATGTAAACTATCACTCAATTCACAATAAAAACTTTAAAAAAGAAAGCATATTAGGAAAAAAAAAAATGTAATTAGACTATCTTTTGTTTCAGTCCTTACTAATGGAGATCTCTCCAAGGTGTATTATTCTATTTTCTTGGCTCAATATGTGGTTTTTAATCTATTGTTATTAAGTGCTGTTGAGTTGGTTCCGACCTACAGGGACCCTATTACAGGGTTTCTGAGAAGCTGCTGGTAGTTTGAACTCTAAACCTTGTGGTTCAAACTGACCTTGTGGTCCCTCACATTATCCTGCAGTGCCACACCGCTGTTCAAATAGAAGATAATGCAAGCCACAAATGTCATTTTAAGTTTTCTTGTAGCTACATAAGAAAGAGTATAAAGCAGTTGATCAAAATTATTCTAGTAAAATATGCAAAGTTGTTTGAACTGCAAGGTCTGTGGTTCAAGCTCAACAGCTGCTCCTTGGAAATCCTATAAAGGGTCACTATGGGTTGGAATTGACTCGACGGCACTTAACAATAACAACAACAATATATTAAACTATTATTACTTCAACAAATGAGGATCATGTAGTTTTGTAGGATAAGTACAGGACGATAAACTACAAGATTGGTGGTTTGAGTCCACCAGCTGAAAGAAAGAGGAGGCTTTCTGCTCCTGCAAACATTTATAGCCTTGGAAACCCTATACAGGGTTGTTATAAGTTGGAATCAACTAAAAGGCACTTAGCAACAATAACAACTTCAGAAAATACTTAGTATTGAAAAGTTAATGATCTATTTTAGTGGATTTTTTCATTTTAAATATCTTCAAAATCCACTATGTAATTTACATTTATAGCATTTCTCATTTTGGACCAGTTACCTTCCAAGAACTCAATTGCCAAGTGTGTCTTCTGTATTAGATATCAAAAGTCAAGATTCTTAGTTCTCAAAAGAAGGTTCTGTTGACCAGCAATGTCAGCATCACCTGAGAGCTTATTAGAAGGAAACACTCAGGCCTAATCTCTACTAGATCAGAATCTACATTCCAACAATATTACCAAGTGGTTCATGCACAGAAAGTTTACAAAGCACTGCTTAGTTCAAATTTGCCTGGTAATATGAATGGGCCAGGCAAATATATAGATTGTTAAGCACATCCCATAGAGATTTCAATTCAGCAGGTTTGTGAGAGAGGTACAGGTCTTGGGTTTTTAATAACAGGTGATTTTTATAATCAGGCAGTTTAGTGACAGATCAAGCTAATGAATCTATATTTTTAATTGTTCTTTTTAGGCATAATTTAGTTTCAAAAATTTGCTTAACTTGTGATATATTGGTGAGTTATATTCTAAAACAGGTTCTAGAAGATTTTTCCATGTAGAAGATTTTTACATTGCTCGCACCTAAGATTGACCAATGGTTTGCATCCTGGTGCTGTTAATTCCCAGTTGAATGCACTAAGCCTCACCCTTTCTCCACTATGAAAAGTGAACTCAATGAAATGAGTGTAGAAAGACACATGAGGTAAAATTTGCAATTACACCTTAAAGTAGTCATTTTGCCTGAAGACATGTTGTAAGCAGAAAATTACCCTGGAATCTGTCAGATCATCCATACATGTGAAAAATAAAACTGTCTAATGTACTGAAGTTACATTTTAAAAAATGCAGTTCTAATGGGAAGCTTCCTTAATTTATACTGGATATGTGTTTCTTTTGCTAGATGGGAAAGAGTATGATATTTATGTATCATATGCAAGGAATGCTGAAGAAGAAGAATTTGTGTTACTGACCCTCCGTGGAGTTTTGGAGAATGAATTTGGATATAAGCTGTGCATCTTCGACCGAGACAGTCTCCCTGGGGGAAGTAGGTATTTCAGATGAGTATAATTCAGTGACTCTCAAAGGTAAAAGCCTCCTGAGCTTTGGGTCATATATGAGAGTCAGCATGTAGCTGTAAGTTGGAATCATTGAACACGTGGGGTTCCATTGTTTTATGCAGTAGAGATGTGTCTAGTAATAAACTACATTAAAATGTAGACTAGTCCAGCTCAGTTATGATATTAAAATATTTTCTCTTATAAGTTTTAAGAACTCAGTGTCAGAAAAGTGTGGCTGACAGTGTATTCCCCACCTTAAGGCTATCGTGTTAATCATGACTCGTAGAAACCCTATAGGACGAAGCAGAACTGCCCAGTAGGGTTTCCATGGTTGTAAATATTTATGGAAGCTGACTATCACACTTTTTCTCCTGTGGTGTGACTGGTGGGTTTGAGCCACTGACCTTTTGGCTAGCTGTCAAGTTCTTTGCCAGGTCACCTTCACAGTGGATTAGAGTTCCAAATATGCCATGCCTTCAAATGCCCTCTGTGCTCATATTTAGAGTTTTGGAAGCGTTAGGCTGGTCCACACTGAGTTGCCTTGAATTTTTGCCAGGATACAGGGCTAGTATTAAGAATATTCATTATTATAAAATTTACTAGAACTGAGTTACAGAAGAGAGTTCATAGACTCTTTCCTTACATTGTTGTTGTCGTCATTGTTAAGTGCCGTCGAGTCACTTCCAATTCATATCCAGCCTGTATAGCGTTTCCTACGAGTAGTTGGTGAGTTTTACCCACTGTCCTTGCATTTCAAACCAACCTTGCAGTCCAGTGCTTATCCTACAGTCCAGTGTTTATCCTTCATATTTCCCTTTGGCATTTGCACATTTTCTTTTCTCCCCTTTATTTTTTTAGCAAATGGAAGCTCCTCTATTTTCCCCTTTACTTTGGTCAGTTTCTCCCTTTGTATCACCTTATACACTGGAAATTTTTAGGATGGCCAGTGTATTCTGAATTGCTTAATTTTTGGAATGAAATCTCTGATTTTCAGATCCACCCAGTAATACACAAAGTAATGGTCCATTTGAATCCATTTTAATAAATACTTCATTAACATTATTTTGTTGTTGTTGTTGTTAAGTGCCATCATGTCGGTTCCAACTCATAACAACCCTGTATAGGGTTTTCAGGGAGTTGCTGGTAGATTTAAACTGCCAACTCTGTGGTTCAAACTGACCTTGTGGTGGAGAAGCCTACTGTTATAATTTGTACTGTTGAAATGCATGTAATATCCATAATCTTGTATAAACCAACTTTCCTCCTCTAAAATTTTATTGACCTTAGTTTAAAAAATGTTTCACTAAAAAAAAAAAAAAAAAAAT